TTTTTTTTTTTTTTTTTTGCTACCTGGTCACTGGTTAGGTATGTACAGGTGTGGCCAATTGGCAGTTTTTAACCGTGGCAAACATCAACCGATTAAAATCAGTCAAGCTCTAAATATTTTTTGCTTTACACATCCAAATATAACTTACCTGAAGGCCCTGTTGCACTTTAATGTTTTAGACAATTTATGCCAACTTGTGAATTTTCTTTGTCTAAATTACTACTAAAAGTATTATATTTGATCAGTTTATCTGCATTATGTATGTACACGCCTAAAAGAGGCTTCCAGTTGTTTTATGTTTATTCCATCTTTAACGTATGTCTTTAACAAGTTGTCTAAAACGTTGACAGGGCCTTAAAACCTTGCATGTTCTTCTGCATTTAGTTCATTAACATTTTGCTGACTACACACCAAATATTTTTAGAGTAACCCTTTTTCTAGTTTCTTTTAATAAACCTTTAAAACTAAGCAACCATTTAAGTGAGTGCCCTGTAGCTATAATAAACAAGCTTTCTTTTCTGTCGACAGTGATGTTGAGCTATCATTAATAAACTAGCTCCTCACTGAACTGTGAAAGCTTCATTAGATCATAGTGGATCACTCACACGTGGACTCTGTTTAACGCAGGATTTCATTTGGCTGCTGTGGACGTTTCACTCTGGCTGAACTCCTGTCGTTCTCCCTGTCCGTCATGTTGGTTCTCATCTGGGTGCTGACTGGACACTGGCTCCTCATGGACGGTGCGTTTCTCACTGAGGATTTTTTTTTCATTCATGGGATTTATTGCATATTGTAAACTTGGTTCAGGTTTTATGTAAATGTGCAGTTTTGCAGCAGGTTCATATGAATCTGAACATCCCTCAGAGCTGCAGGACCGTGTTTGATACACATTTAATGACATTATACATCAAAAAAATGATCCTGAAGTGATCAGGGATGAGCAATACAAGTCTCCAGACTATTTTTCTAATAGTCAAACTAACCTTTTAGGAAATGCACTAAAACTCCTGCTGTGACATTCTGAGATCTAGCTGTTAATTATGTTACAAGACAAAATCCAGTTTTATCCTCCTCCTGGGGATGAATAAACTCAGAATGACTCATGGGATAAAAAATTATAGTTCAGGTTTTTACAGCACTTTATTCTAACAGAAGAAGAATTCTATCAGTTAACTGCTTTATAAAACATTACTGGCATTTAAAATGACTGGTTTTCATAAAGTTTAACGTCTTCTTTAAAAGAGCGACATTGGAAACTTCAAATTATTTCATTTGATATGTGTCTGCCAGTCTTCCATAGCAGCACGTATGCAGAAGAGTTCAAATCTTTTGGAAATCATAGCATGATCCCAGTGATCTATTTATGTGTGAAATCTTGTGTTTTTCCTCCCCGCAGCTTTAGCCATGGGCTTATGTGTGGCCATGATAGCTTTTGTCCGACTCCCCAGTCTGAAGGTTTCCTGCCTGCTGCTGTCAGGACTGCTCATTTATGATGTCTTCTGGGTAAGACAGACCTCAGCAGCAAACCTGACCTGGATCACCAGGTCCACATTCACTACATAAAATGTTTCAGCGGTTTTAATGAAAGTTTATGAAAACCTGATTTTTTTTTCTCTCTTGAATCTGAGTAATGTAGAAATGAGTTTCAGCTCAAAAAGTTGTGCATTGTTTTGTTTTTATTAAGTTGCAGTGAGTTTAAAAGGACCTCCAGAATTAGCTGTTTATTCACTGCCTGGCCAAAAAAAAAACGTCACACTAATATTTTGTTGCCTTTAGCTTTGATTATGGCACACACTCGCTGTGGCATTGATTCAATAAGCTTCTGCAATGTCACAAGGTTTATTTCCATCCAGTGTTGCATTAATTTTTCACCACGATCTTGCGTTGATGATGGTAGAGTCTAATCGCTGCGCAAAGCCTTCTCCAGCACATCCCAAAGATTCTCAATGGACTCTGAAAATGATGTCTCATGCTCCCTGAACCACTCTTTCACAATTCCAGCCCCATGAATCCTGGTGTTGTCATCTTGGAATATTCCCGTATCATCAGAGAAGAAACAATCCATTGATGGAATAACCTGGTCATTCAGTATATTCAGGTAGTCCGCTGACCTCATTCTTTGAGCACAAACTGTTGCTGAACCTGGACCTGACCGACTGCAACAACTCTACATCATAGACCTTAGTTATATCCAGGTGGACCCTTTTTTTTGGGCCAGGCAGTATGAGTGATGGCAAAAATGTGTCAACTTTGTTACAAATGATTAATAAATCGATGCAGTTGCATAATTTATGTGACAGATTTGCAAAAAACAAAATGTTCTTTTTGTGGTGGGCAAATAAACACGTCCTTCCCTCCTGCTTTTTATCTCAGGTGTTTTTCTCAGCGTACATCTTCAATAGTAATGTGATGGTGAAAGTCGCCACCCAGCCTGCTGAAAATCCCATCGACGTTCTTTCCAGGAAGCTCCACTTGGGACCAGGAATGGGTCGGGACGTCCCCCGACTCTCCTTACCTGGCAAACTGGTTTTTCCAAGGTAATGCTTTACCAATAGCGGTGCTTAACAGTTTGGAAATTCTTTACAATTTTTTTATATTTTACAACTAAAATATCAACAGTTTGTAATGTATCCTGAAAAATGATGAAGAGAATTGTTGTAAAATGTCTTTATTTAGACTTGTGCTGTTGAGACAAGTTTTTACTGGGATTAAAAAGGGAAACATGATCTGTTTAAGTAAAAATAAAACGACAGAAGTTCTGAAAAACTAGTTGAGCAACAGATGTTTCAAGTCATTTAAAGGTATCGCTCTGATTGTGTGTGGGGTGGGGGACACATTTTTTTCCAGTGCTACTTATAGAACCTGTAATAAGTCTCTCTAAAACCTGTTCTGTGCACCCACTTCAAAAATAAAAGCTTTATTGTGATTCTTGCATATTCTTCAGGATCCATCACGGATCAGCACTGACCTGTTCTGGAGCCGCAGAGTTTTTACTAAATGCTATTAAAAAATACATCCGTGCAGCAGAGTTCTCCAGTGATGTCGTTCAGAACAGTGGCTCCCGAAACAGAATTCACTTTAAATGTAAAAATCATTGCTGATATCATGTTTCCACCTCAGACGGTCCAAAGCATTAGTCGTGAGTAAAAACAAATAGGAACACAAGGTGAGGTGGTTTATTAGGCTTATAAGCAAAGCTTGAGGACTCTAACGGGTAACAGGTGGGGTCACAAGTCTTTGTCATGTTGTGGGTCAGAAGCTGAGCAGTTCTGGACCCACTGTTAAAGAGGTCTGAGTTTTTACTTAAAAGTGCTTTCTTTAAACGAGGGACATTCTGAGTCTATTTACAGATCGGATTAACTTCAATTTGTTTCTCAAATCAGATCATTGCAACTGACAGACTCGTCTGTTGAAGTTGCTGTGGCAATGACCTTGTTGTAGTGGTACACTCAAGCTTTGACTGCACCTAAACTTTGCACAGTATATTTTAGCATTTCTCTGTGTTTTAGTTTTGAATGTGACAGTAGCAACAATGGCGGCTCCTAATGAGGTTCAACAAGCGTCTCTAACCAGCTGGTTTTCTTGTGTTTTACTCTAATACATGTCCTCTTCAGGTAAATGTCAGATGTACCACCACTTATTAAAGTGATGTGATTTGGATTTGAAAAAAAAATCCATTGAGTTTCAGATGATTACAAAAAATCAGATGTGTGTCATATAAGAAAAAAACAATCAGATGTAGGCCACTTTTGTCTGCAGTGTGAATGTAGAGTGACAAACAACCTAGAGAAAGAAATAAAAACTATTTTATCTTCAGGCACTTTATTAATTACAGATTGTAGTCTTTTATTTGATCATTGTTGCATTTTTGGATTTATAAAACTGATCCAAAGATTGCAGTTTAACCTCACAAATCAGCAGATTACCAAAAACATGTTAACTGTAGACTTGATAGATCTCAAGATTACGTTAGTGAGCTCTTTGAATAATAAAAAAAAATAGATCAGATAAGAAATATGTATCAAAGAACAAATAAGAAAAAAGAGTCAGATGCAGCACATGGGTGATGTGTCATTCTTGAATAAATCTGTAGTTTGTTACTTCTGCCAAGGGAGGAGGTAATGTTTTCAGTTGCGTATGTCTGTCTGTCTGTGGACAAAATTACTTAAAAACTTGTGGATGGATTTTCATTAATTTTTTTTACCACAGGTGGTATTGGCCAAAGAAACACACCCTTAAATTTTGGTGATGATCTGGATCTCAATGCGGATCCAGGAATTTTTTGAAGGATTCGTCACTATTACAGGACAGGGGAAATTGACCTTGGCAGAGGTTTGCACTCTCTGAGTGCTTCTAGTTTTTTAAGTTTTTACTAAAGTACAAAGATTGATCTGAAATTGATTGAAAAACTTAAAAGGTCCAAAAATAAAGCAACTCAGAAACTTGTGGAGAGCTTTTTAATATCTGAAATTCTTGGAAGCAAACTGTGAAGAAATGATTGATAAGTACATTAATGTTCCAAATAATACAGCTTAATATTCTGTCTGTCTTATGCTTCAGTGATTTTGTCTTGTTAAAGTTTGACATCTAATCTGGTTCTTTTGTCTGAATTTCATAAAACTGTAATGAATTAATGACACACATGGCAAGTCTCAGTGATGCTCAAGTCAATCCGTTTTTGTGTTTCTTTTTTTGTTTGTTTGTTTCCACTCTTCGCCCTGGTGCAGTTCCACAGGAAGTCACTTCTCCATGCTGGGAATAGGAGACATCGTGATGCCGGGGCTGCTGTTATGCTTCGTCCTGCGTTATGATAACTACAAGAAGCAAGCGACCGGGGAAGTCCCAGGACCGGGCAACATGTCCGGACGCATGCAGCGCGTATCCTATTTCCACTGCACCCTCATCGGATACTTTGTGGGTAAGTGATGAATCGATGGACTGGTGGATGTAAAAGATCGTGACTTTTAAAGTGGCTGTGCTCGTTTTAGAGGTGAAAGTTTCAGCAGATGTCGTTAGAATGTAAAATGCAGCGCGCTTCGAGGAGTATTTGTTTCCTGTAGTCCTTCCAGAAGTTGGTGTTGAGTTTAATCGCAGTATTTTTGAACATGTCGTGTCTTTTCAGGTCTGCTGACTGCCACTGTGGCCTCTCGGATTCATCGTGCTGCTCAGCCTGCTCTGCTTTACTTGGTTCCCTTCACCCTGCTGCCTCTGCTCACTATGGCCTACCTGAAGGTACGCTGATGGGATTCAACACAGAGCCATGTTTAATAAAGATACACAATGACTGTTGCCTCAGCTGGCTCAGAACAAAGGGTTTTACAAAGATCAGGGGCCTCATGCATCAAAGAGTGCGCAGCTTTCATAGGAAAAGTTCATACGTATAGAAATATTGAGATATATCAAACCATGCACGTGTCCCCTGACACATTTAAATACTTTATATAAAATAAAAGCAAAAATATCCAGCATGTGTAATTACTCTGTGCGATCAAAAAGGATTTCTAGATGCTGAAAAATGATGAATTAAATGGAATATTAGTCAAAGATGATCCTAAATAAGTAGCTTCTCTGTCACTGACGCATTTCTGAGTCGTTACCAACTTTATTCACATTTTTAATAGCTTAATTACTGTAAACACAGAGGAACTTATTGGTTTTGGTATATTTAAAGCTTTTGATGTGAATAAACGAGTCACAGTGCCTCAACGGAGAGTATTTGGTCGGTGGGATCCCCAAAAACACCCTGCCTCCCAATTCTTTCTGTGCTGATGTCGTCTAGCAGCACCACAGCTGACATTGTTCCACAAATTACGCACAACTTCACGCAGCTCTTTATGAAAATGTTCATTGTCTGCATCTTGTCGACCTGAGGAATAACCACGGGTGAGTTGTTCCAAATGAATCTGCTGATCTGACAGTTTCTTCTCAGTGGGAATGAAAAGTGCTCCTCAGACAATTCACGCTCAGTTTATTCTCCTCGGCAGCTGTGTGTGCGCGTCACTGACGTGTGTTAATCTACTCAAGAATATAAGAAACTTTACAGTTTACATCAGATTGAGGTTCTTTTGATCATTTTTAGGCATGTTGTTTTTTTGTCTGAGGCTCAGTTTCTTTATTCAGGTTTAAACCATAAAAGCTCAAACTAAATAAATAAACATTTTCTGATGCTTCTTGCATCCAGAAAACAGAAAGGAGTCCTATTTCTGGTTATTTCGGTCTGATTCAGTATGATGTGGTTTAAAACTGTCGAATGAAAAAGTTTGCATATACACACACTTTTCACACAATGTTCACTTTGATTTATCCGGACATCTTCGTAGAACCTGGAGCACACAACTTTTTGATACAAGAGGCCCCTGATCTGCAGATTTCAGTTTTGAGATAGAATGTCACCAGTACACAAAACTTTAATATATTCTCTTTAAAAGTAAAAGCACTAAATCTACAAACAGTATGTTCCAGGGTTTGGAAGTATTTGTACAAATGAAGCCCATGAGAGAAATACTTACATCATACTTACAGTGGGGAAAATAAGTATTTAGTCAGTCACCAATTGTGCAAGTTCTCCCACTTAAAAAGATGAGAGAGGCCTGTAATTGACATCATAGGTAGACCTCAACTATGAGAGACAAAATGTGAAAAAAAATTTGAGAAAATCATTTTGTCTGACTTTTAAATAATTTTTTTGCAAATGGTGGAAAATAAGTATTTGGTCAATAACAAAAGTTCATCTCAATACTTTGTTGTATATCCTTTGTTGGCAATGACAGAGGTCAAACGTTTTCTGTAAGTCTTCACAAGGTTGGCACACACTGTTGCTGGTATGTTGGCCCATTGCTCCATGCAGATCGACTCACTGGACTGTGGACTAACCTCAATCCATACAGTCCGCATCCCAACTCCTCCTGACTCACTACCTACCTACGTCAGGCAGTACAAAAT